CACGAGTTTGACTAGAAGGGATGTTCACATCATCTGCGAAAGTGGAAAGTTTCTCTGTGCCATTTAAAAATCTGGATTTTAAGGGGGCGGCCTACAAACATGTTGTGACAAGATAAAGATCAGACACACATATTGTTCAAGCACTATTGTGTTTGTGTTAATACATGTCTGGAGGGATCTTTAAGTTGCACCGGGGTGTTTGGAACAGTTCTGTATCAGAAAAAACATTAAACTCTTTATTTTCTTTAAATTAAAAATCTTTAAAAACTGTACTTTTTATCAGTAAGCTGGGCCTTCACTTCTTACGTGTGTTGGAGTGACAGTGGAGAGATGAATTAAAGGAAACAAGCTGTTTGTGACAGACAGCCTCTCTGCCACTAGAGTGCTCTTTATTGCTGAACTTGACAGGAAAACAAAACTTCCTCCTTTTCTCCATTTCAGGACAGGGTAACAGGAAACAACACAAATATACCTCTATAAGTAAACACAAGTCCAGCAATGTAATACAACTGTTGCACTCATGCTGTAAACTTACAACACACAGTAGAGAATGCCATAGACAGTCACACCTCTGAGACACATATATTATAACAATAAATATAAGAAATGTATACAAATGATACAACTGAAAGTATACAAAAAGAGGAACAGGCATTCCAATATTTTAACATGTCAAATATCTAGAAGAAGTTTGCAAAATGGTAAACGCAATTAAAAAAGCAGAGCAGTAAAGCGTAAAGTTAGATCCAAAACGGATATTCAGATTCAATACGTGTTGAAATATGATTGTGTAATATGTAATGAACATGTGAAATCCGCGGTGGGTGCACCAGTAACCAGATAATCACCTGTACTATAGCGACTTTTCCATGGAAGGCCTCCGTCCTTTCTCCGGACCCCATGTGTTGTTGTGCAAACAGAACGCAAAAAACTTTATTCGTTTTCCCAAACAACGGATGTGACGTCACTCTCCGAGCTTGCAAGTCTCGCGATTACAAAGACAAAACGACGCAACCAAAAGTTTGTTCGCCGACTCACTGACGAGTTAGCGTGTGGATCGTTTGGGAAAATGCTCATAATCTTTCACCACTATTTTGGCCGTCCATTATTGCATGTTATCTGTCATTCTTCTTCGGAATTCCATTCCCAGCTGTAGGAAATCGTTTTTTAACTGGGTTGCCGATTATCCGCGTTTCTTTGCCTACGCTGTTCATAGCCGCGAACATTAGTTCAGGCTGTTTCTCTGTTAAGCCTGCTAAAATCCTTCATCGCGGTTCAAAATCCTAGAGTTACAAAAAATCGCAAGATCCTAAACAGTGGATTGAGTTCCACCTTAAAAATGACTGCTTCTCCCATGACAGTATGACAGCTTCTGGCAGACAACCACAACGCTGACGCAGGCACAAAGGGGATATAACGCCATTGACAGGTGACCAGTGAAATGCAGCGTTACCTGAATAAAATTACAGATTTCTCTGAGTTTGAACTTTTGGGTTAATGTAGGTACACAACTTAACTACATATAGAACATAGTTCTAGTGCTTATAGACATTTTAACATTGCAACACATTGCAGAAATCCTACACATCATAAGTTTAACCATTAGCTAACACAAAAGCACATTCTGTTTTGCCACTTCCAAGTTCTTTCTCATTTCCGAACATTTCACAAAACTCTGCTGGGCTGACCTCAGAATGTCAGCCACTCATGAATAAGTTGCGTAACGTCAGTGTTCTGTGTGCCAGTGGAATCTGAGCTTCTGCAGATGACTGAATCCATTGAGCAAGCGCTCTTTATTCAGTCTACCCATGTTTTTGCTTGGGTATTAGCTTGCTTTGGTCAGAGGCCGGCCCATTGTCTGCTAGCTCTGCCCATCCTTGCATGATATGAATGAAGATTAGCATGGATTGTTTGAATAAACCACCCAGGGTCTGGTGTTAATGCGTCGCAGCAGGAAATTATGTGAATGTCACTGCATGTATAAGTGAAATAAATGAGAAACACAATGTGCCAGGAAGAGCTGGACTGTATACGGCAATCAAAAAGACGATGATTTAGGTGAAATGGCTTTGTTCATTTGAGCATGTTAAAATCAATATGCCCACCTCCTACTTTAGAGCATGGGCAAGTTGATCTAGGCCACGTAGGTTTCACTTTTTTCTTTTGCTCTCTTCCTATTCTTGTTTGTGCGATACATCAAGAGTGATTCATGTGGGCCGTGAAGCAAACAATGCCATTCTAATTTGTCATTTCTGCACGCTTGGCACCCTCGCTCATGGTGCAGCTTTGGCAAGGTCATCGGATGTACCTGACCTGCTGTAACAGAACAATGAGGGTCAAAAACATAATGCACATGACATGGATTGAAATGGATTGCAGTCTTATTTTATCCTCCAAACACCACTGATTGTTGAAAATACTGCACATACCTGACTCTCTCTTTCTCTCGTTATTAAACCCTCTTTATCCTCACGGTGAACTGATACCAAGGTGTTAAAATGGGCATCACATGACCAAATAATGCAGCTTTAATCGACTGAGAACAAGTGCCTAGGCCCACCTCCTTCCCTGCACCCTTGACTCTTAATTAAGACCACATATCTTAGATTTTGCTGAGGTCAGGAAGGGATTTTAATTTAAAAACCATTAAGACGTGCACACAGTCAGGACTTGTGTTGCATCCCAGGCAGATATCATTTTAATTAAGTCTTATCTTTGCCCAATTTCTCCGGCACAAGACATCATCATAATTCCTCAATAACAACCTCCGAATACACCAAACAACAGTTTGGCAAATAGGATCTCATACGTTACAAGTATTGACCCGTGAACCTCTGTCCAACATGATGCCTGATCCTATAGGTTAGTCTGTACAGTCTGTGTGAAAACTTTAATCAGGAGTGGTGTGGTGTTTAGCTGCTGCCTTAAAATGATGGAAACAAACATGATACACACACAGGATAGTGTGTATAATATATTTTCTTGTTAATGACACCCCAAGGTCCACTTCCATTGCGCTGAAGTTTGTCTTCTACTTTTGAGACCTTCAGAAAGTGGGCAATAAAACCTTAAGAGAGCCTCACACCTGCTAGAAGATATAATTGTCTTTTTGGCACTCTGTGGTGCAGTGCACTTAATGTGTTTATTGTAAAGAGAAAGGCTTTTACTGTAAAGTCAATTGCATGTGAGACAAGATTGAAGAACGCGCAACAGAGCGCAGACTGTATAACCTACCAACACAAGCCGTTGCTGTCATACTTGCGCAAACACTTGATACCAGACGAGAACAATGCCATGTGTTACTTGTATCTTCCCCACTGATGGCATCCAAAGCTGTCAGCGCATTGTTCCCTGTCGCCATCCCAATATCTTAACGGCAAGCCAAATTGATGTTAAGGTAAAGAAATTATCTTGTTCAGCCTCCTCGTGAGACTCAGAAGCTGTCATAGTAATTCTGAGGGCTGCTGTTAGATGCAAAGTGCCACTCTCATCTCCAGTCCCCTCCATGCATACAGATAATGGCGGGAAGAGACAGCGCTGTAGCACATCAGTAAACAAAGTCAGTGTAGTTTACTGAAGTTCAGACTCTCATTAACTTGAACCCTCTCCCTAAAAGTTACTCTCCCCCTTACCCTATCCATCAAACAAACAAAGGAACTGAACATTTCAGAATAAATTACCGATCATCGACCTTATAAGTTTGCATAAAATGACAACTTACAAAAGCAAGGCCTTGGGGACCAGTAATCTATAAAAAGGTTTAGAGGTCATTACAGAATGTTACTACAACTAAGCACAGTAAGACAATGTAGAAAAAATAATTAAGGTGTCTGCCTTTTTAAAGTCTATAAGAAAGTTATGAAGCTTTAAATGAATCAATCAATACAGATCTTTGCATGCAGAGGTTAATGGGACAACATGTCAATAAAATGAACTTGATTTCTTTTTGAGGATTTTCGACTTGTCGAAACAAGTGAATTCCCCTGTTTAGACTACAGCATGTCACACTCCTCTTCATTCACTCCTACAGTACATACAGCTGACAGTCACTTTTCCTTCAACCTGGCCCCACGTTTTCTGTTTGATAACTTGATCACACACACATGATTTGGGGATATGCAACATGTATAAGCACAAAACTCACATAATGGATGTCTTGAAACTGGATTTGAACATATTCCAAAGTAATTCCATAGTTCAAAGAGTTAAATTCTTAAGGAAGCTGGCAAATATTTTCTACACAATTCACCATAGGGGTCCTTTATCCTTTTCACGTCATGGTAGCCAAATAAGTACACATTGGACCTCTATCTTAAATAATTCAACAGCACAACAAAAAAAGCCCCCCTCATTCATTCATTCTCTTTCAAGTGAATATAATTAATGTCAAATTGAACAATTCCTCATTTTGTTTTGTAACCTCTGGGCCCCTGTGTGCTTCCTCTGGTCACGTAGTTTGAGAGTCACTGCACTGCAAGTGATCCCAATTCTAAATATCTAAATATTCTACTATTCACAAGAGCATATCCAGGGGGTATGCCTCAGGAAGAGGAACACCTATGACACCTGATCAGCCACCCCTCTAGTCAGAAATCTGTTTTTCTCCTTGTCCCTACAGTGTGCTGTTAGAATGCTGTCTGTGCAGAGTTTGACCCTAGAAGGATGTTTTCACATTCATCTGCTGAAAGTGGAAAGTTTCTCTGTGCTCATTAAAAATCTGATTTTAAGGGGCGGGGCCTACAAACATGATTTGTGACAAGATTAAAGATCAGACACACATTATTGTTCCAAGCAGACTATTGTGTTTGTGTTAATACATGTCTGGAGGGGATCTTTAAGTTTGCACCGGGGTTGTGTTTGGATACAGTTCTGTATCAGACAAAAACATTAAAACTCTTTATTTTTCTTAAATTAAAAATCTTTTAAAAACTGTACTTTTTATCAGTACAGCTGGGCCGTTCACTTCTTACGTGCTGTGAGTGACCAGTGGAGAATGAATTAAAGGAAACAAGCTGTTTGTGACAGTACAGCCTCTCTGCCACTAGAGTGCTCTTTATTGCTGAACTTGACAGGAAAACACAAACTTCCTCCTTTTCTCCATTTCAGACAGGGTAACAGGAAACAACACAATATACCCTCTATAAGTAAACACAAGTCCAGCAATGTAATACAACTGTTGCACTCATGCTGTAACTTCACCAACACACAGTAGAGAATGCCATAGATCAGTCACACCTCTGAGACACATTATATTATACACAATAAATTATACATGAAATGTATACAAATGATACATACATGAAAGTTATACAAAAGAGGTAACAGGCATTCCAATATTTTAACATGTCAAATATCTAGAAGAAGTTGCAAAATGGTAAACCAATAAAAGTTTCAGGAAAAATATATCTTATATTTTATGTACTTAGGCTGACTCTTTACCACAGCGGCCCCGGTTTGATTCCACCCTGTGGCCCTTTGCCACATGTCATCGCCTCCCTCTCTCCCCCATTTCCCGTCTATCTTGAGTTACCCTAATCAATTAAAAAATGTTTAAAAAGTCCCCCCAAAATAACCCTAATACCTTCTGTATATGAACATAAAACAGAAATAGAGTTTATGATATTTGTACAGTCCTGTGTCCAAGGCATTTTATGTGTGTCTGTGGTAAGTTTCTTTTTTTTTTTAATTCTCCAACCAGGCAGCTGGAACCTACTTTTAGTTTTGGCTCATAAAAAGAAAGAAAAGAAAATCTCATACTCTGCTACAGTTTATGACACTATTGCTATTTTATGCACGGTCTCTTAAGTGCTCTTCAGTTTTCAGAGTCACAGTAGTAATAAAGTAGTTAACATGCTGTACAGTATGTCAGAGGCCAAAGTGTCTTTGTTGTTGTATTAAATCTCTACCAATGTGGGGTAGACAGTGAAACGGCTTTGAAAGAGTAGTTGTTGTAAAGCTCAATACTCTGGCAGAAGGGCCTCAGCTTTAGGTTGTCACGCCGGTCAGAGGTCTGTATGATTAGCACAAGTTTGTCACTAAAATATCAACAGTGTAAAGATAAAAAGGGCAACAGTTAATTTAAAATATGCTGCCATTTATCCATCTCCAAAAAATTCTCTCATCTCCTACTCTCTTAAATCAAATGACGCCTTTGCTATGATGAATTTCTGTGACGTACTGTACATAATGTGTAAAGTTAAAGCTGCAGTAATCAATATTTTTTGGTTAATGTTATATCAGAGGAACGAGCATAATGTGAAAAGGGCTGGCTTGTTGGTTGAGATCTAATCAAAGCTCCATCATTGTTTGCTAACATGTTATCCATAACAGCTTTATAAGGCAATACATTTTCAGGGCTGTGTGTCTGGACTGTGATTCATGCAGCTTTAGGTGAAAACATCTTGTGTCTCAAATTGAACACTGATTAGATATTTTATATGTAAACCAAAATTGTTTTCTTCCCAAAAAAATCCCAACTAAATGAGAAGCACAGTAGAAAACACGAAGAACAGTCCATTTAGTTTTTGCACATGATACAGTAATAGAATAAACTCTGCTACATCGCAGTGGCACACAAATTCTATTGAATTATTCAGCGATTAACCCATTCAGATGGATTCATTCATCCATTCCAATGAACGTAACTTTTCCAGCATGTCTAGACATATGATTATTGTCATCTGACTCCACACAAATGCACAAACTAATTTGACTGGATGTCTATAAACTAATCACAGTGTTCCACATCTTCTAAAGTGGACTGCACAAGAGCCACACACCCTTTTTGCAGCAACCACGGCGACCGCGAGGCACACTTTAATCTATTAAAGAGATGTTATATTACTTATACTAATATAGGCCTATGTCAAAATATCATATGAAAGATTTCTAGGATTTAGTCAGAAGGGAAATGAATAGGGAAATACTGTTTTGATTTATATTGACTCTTCTGATGTTACTAATGATACAACCATAATCAGCAGGATGCTTATAATGCATCCTGCTGATTATGTACGCTGAATATTAAACTTATTAGACTCATTAATGTTTCTTAAAAGGTCCAGTGTGTA